CCCAGTTCCTCAGCAATTTCAGCATTGAACCACTAAAGACAACCTTAAGGCAGAAGATCAACAGATTTGGGGTTTTAGCTACTTTTCATTTACAAATTTAAAACATATTTAAAATCAATTTAAAATGGAGGGTTCTCCCACAAGTGTTTGACAAGTTTATTCCTCTTTCCTTGCAAGATTCTACTTCACCAACTGGCATGGCACCAGTGAGAACGAGCCCTCGGTGTGGAGACACTCCCCGAGGAAGGCTAAGGGCGCCTACGAGAAGAAACTGGCACCAGAAGGAACTCCTATCCTCGATGCAAACTCCCTGGAATACATCTTTGCCCAGGTAAGAAGTGGCTTGACAAGTCCCTCTGACATGGTGCCCACACAGGAATGATGTGATTCGCTAGGAGCTGCTCTAAAGACCTGTTTTTAAGCTTCTGAAATACAGAAAATGTTACCTGTTAGTACTGAGAAGTGTTTTCTTCACGGTTCTTTGTGGTGGAAAGAGGAAGAACATGAAGAACAAGGTAAAATGTGTGAAGAAACTGCCTCACAGTCCTAAAAGGTCTATAATTTTGTGGCTACCTTGTTTTAATATTAACTACTTTTGGATATAAGTTATATCACTTTTTGTGGAACAGCTACACATAACTTTGCCATCTCTAGTCCCACAGAGGAGCTGTAGCAGCATGAAATCTGGCAGTCTGGTGTCCTTTTAATGAGTCTTTTTACTCTGGAGTGTTAAAACAGTGTTGGCTGATGATCCCCCTGTTACCCTGCCTGTTCACATGCAGTTTTACTTTCCTTTTGTGCCTCCCAAATGATTTTGCAAACCAGAAACTGCCTGGTTTCACAAGGAAATGGGAAGATTCAAGCTGATGAAGTGCTTATGAAATGAGCAAATTGAATGCACTGAGAAAAAAAAACTTGTTTACTGCTCATTCTGAGTATAATTACTGCAGAATTTTCAGACTTTGAAATATGACTTTGTTCTTCAGAAAAAAAGAGACAAGATGAAGTGGCTGCTGTGAGTCTTTGTTTAGTTGTGAAACCACAATGAAAGAAAATACCAGAGAAACACTAATACTTGTACAGAAATGCCTTTGGTAGCCAAATATTTTTCAGACTCTCCCAGAGCAAGGCACAGGGTTTGCCTGTGATTGTGTCTTAGAGGGGAGTCCATGAGGTTCATGGAGACCTTGGGTGGAGAAGGGCAGAGAAAAAGCAGAGACACGAAGTAGTTACTGTGGGCCAGACAAAAACCTGGTGAAGGTGCTAGGAGGGGACAGGGATGGTGATTTCTTCAGTTAGTTACAAAGAGAAGGGAACTTTGCGGGGGTGATGTATAAAAGAAAGGGACAGGGTTTCAGTTTTGGGTGACTTCTTGCTCAAGGAGAGCCTGTGATCCTGTGACGATTTCTGGCTCAGAGAAAAGCTCTGACTGGTAACTTCCTTTTTGTGTTCCTACTAAGGGTCAGAATGACTTGGTGAAAGGCCTGGCCCCAATCCGTGACCCTAAAAATGATCAGGAGGTCCATGAGATTGAAAATGAGTGTCTGGGCATGGCTGTCCTGGCAATCTCTCACTATGCCATCAATAAGAATGTGAAGCTTCCAGAGCTTCCCAAGGATATCAGGTGAGCTGGGCTGACTTCTTTGTCATGGTTGGGTTTGCCTCTTCCAGGAGGGATTTTACCTCATAACATTGTTTTTCATTTTAGTTACAAGCATTATATTCCTGAGACTTTGAACAAGACCATCAGACAGAGGAATTTCTTAACCAGGATTCGAATAAACAATGTTTTCAAGCATTTCCTTAAGGAGTTCAACAACAAAACCATTTGTGACAGTAGTGTGTCTCCACGGGATCTGAAAGTTAAGTATTTATCCACAATGGAGACCTTGACTAAATATTATGGAGCAGAAATTTTTGAGACTTCATTTTTGCTGATTTCATCTGAGAATGAAGTAAACAGATTTAATTGTGGAGACAATGAGAAATATGAGGTTATTGTCACAGGAAACAATGGGATTCAGTGGAGGCTCAAGCCAAATGTAAGTACCCCTTGATCAATGGGAATTAGAGCTTGTTTTGGGGGCATAACAGCTGTTAAATGGTCATGATCTTCAGACACTGCAGATCAGCTGCTTATTGAAGGGGCTTCATAGGATTAGAGGATTATGCAGGTTGGAAGGTCCTCAGGAAGTATCAACTCCAGTCTCCTGTTCGGGGTTAGCTTTGACATCAAACCAGGTTGCTCATGGCTTTATACTTTCTGGTCTTGAGCTCCCAAGGATGGACACTGTGCAACCTCTTTGGACAACCTGTTTACCAGGAGTATTAAGGACTCTACTACAGCTGCCAGAGCAGACACAGGAAATGAAATAGCTTTATTTTATATATTCTTTAATTATAGCATGAATTCATCATGATTTTTTTATTTGAGAGTAAAAACACTATGCTAAAAAGGTTTTTTTTTTACTATACTATATAAATACAAACTGTATTTTCAGTCTGTACAGACAGAGAAAGAGAAGAAGAAAAAATCTGATGGCAAAGCCAAAAAGGATGAAGAAAAACACAAACCTCGAGAGATGTGGAACAATTTTTCCTATTTCCCTGAAATCACCCACATTGTCATTAAGGAGTCTACAGTTAGCATCAACAAGCAGGATAACAAGAGGATGGTAAGAACCAACCCTTGGATAGGTTTCCCTTCCATGGGGAGCCACAGTGCTGTGGTGGTGTTGGGCAGCAGGTGACAACGGCCCTGAGGAACATTTTCTGGTGGTACTCATGAATAACAATGGGATGTGTTGCTCTGACCACTGGACAGATGCAAAAGTGCTTGCTAGAAATTGGTGAGAGCAGCTGTTTCTTTAATCTGGCACAAGAGTTTGTCTTACAGATCCTGTGTAGGATTACAGGCAAACTTGTGACTCTGGAGAATGGAAGTTTCCAGCCAGTAATGGGTAGAGAATTGGCTCCCTAAACATGGTTTTTGGACAGATTTTTAGCCAAAATTGGCTGGATGTTAAGCATTCCTGAAATGTTTTAACAGAGCTGTTGGAATTCTTCCCTGACCTCCCTCTGTGCTGCAGGAATTGAAGCTGTCCTCACACGATGAGGCCCTGTCCTTCACCTCGCTGATCGATGGCTACTTCAGGCTCACAGCAGATGCTCACCACTACCTGTGCACTGATGTGGCTCCTCCACTCATCGAGCACAACATCAAAAACGGCTGCCATGGGCCCATCTGGTTAGTGAAATCTTTGGCTTTGACTTTTCCACTGGAATAATTAGTCCTCTAACACTGCTGCTTGGCAGGTCCATGAGGGAATCTGATACTTGCATGGCTGGTGGCTACCAAGAGGTTGTAGAAGGTTGTTTCTCTCCACATGAGTTTACTCACCTATAAAACCTGTGTTTCCTCACTAGATGAGTATTTTGAGGCCTAGTTTGCTGATGGCTTTGAACAGATGGGAATGTTGTGGGTAGACAGAGCTGAAGTGTGTCCACACTGGGAGTCCTTGGATGAACAAAACTTGGGGTTTTTAAACACCTGAAGCAATTCTCTTCCCTTCTACCCACCATTTTGGCCTTTCCTTTTATGTTTCAGATGCAGGATGTAGCAAACCAAGAGTTTTCCAGCACACTGGAAGCAGAATTTCCCCTTAATACATCTTTCTTCCCTTGCTCTGTGCAGCTAAACACTAATGTGTAATGCACACAATTAATTCATGTTTCAATAACAGTATAAACATTTCTAAGTTGCTCTTACACATTTTTTTCCTCCAGATAGAGGATTACTCTCATGTGTATTTACTAGTAAGAGATCAGGATGCTCCTGTGTTGGTTTTCCTCATGGTCCATTCCCTTTCAGCACGGAATATGCCATCAACAAGCTGCGCCAGGAAGGGAATGAAGTAGGGATGTATGTGCTGAGGTGGAGCTGCACAAACTTCAACCACATCCTCATGACAGTGACTTGTTTGGAAGGCTCAGAGGTAGGTCAGGTGTGGCAT